TGCTCACAAGCACATCCATAACTCATAAACATAACTTATAAAGAATAAATCATAAATAATAAATAAAAAAAATGAACTAAACTCTAAAAGAACAAAAACTTAAAAAAAAAGGAGGCTCACTGACCCACAACAACGAAGGCCATTGGTAGAGATCCGAGGTCGAGAGGCAACATATCAATGGCTGGCAACAGGTCACACCATCACGTGGCAGGGGCTGGGTGCGAGACTTCAGGGAGGGATTGAGATTTTGAGAATAGAGATAGCAAATAGGGTTTGCACAATTGCATTGCATGTTTCGTTTTTCATTGCAATTGAAATTCATTTGGGAGTCTGATTTAATACAAAGTGATTTCTTATAAGAATAGGCATTTGGGCCCCTTTTTTTTTTTTAAAAAAAAAACGAGGCCCAATGACCAAAAAAGGCCTACACAATCACAGTTAAAGACAAAAAAAAGGCCGAACAACTTTGCTTTCATCTTCAACCTAGGTTTGCATTTCAGAAAATTTCAATTTTTCTAAAGTGGCTGAGTCTCTCAACCGACGATAGTGACTCCTGCGAAGCCAGCACGGGCGATCGTACCCCCTCATTGGGTGCTGGCTCCGCCACTGTTGGAGTGACCTAACTAATGCTATATATATCTACCTCTTTCCAGCTTTTTTGTGTGTGGGTGTGTGATTGTGCAAATGAGAGAAATATATGTGCTTTGCCCTTTTTGAGAAAAAAAAAATGGTGGCTGTGCTTTGTGCTTGGCGTCTTGGCTTCTTTGTTTTGTTCTCTTTGCCTTTGTGGTTTGCAAATTATCACCATAACCTTGTCCTTTTGTGGGTGAGAAAGGAAGAAAGCAACCATAAGTGAATACATAGTTGTGGGTTGGAGCTTTTGTTTGATTACGTTTGATATTGGTTGGTTGAAACTGATTTCGGATTCCACAAATTGAAGATCAATTCCATAACAATATAGGATTTGGATCCTTCGAAAGTATAGGATTTTGGTATGTGATTTATATAGGCTTCGGAAGATCTATAACAATGGTATATGTGCGAGCATCATATATCCGATTGCAATTGAGCGATGTAGATAGAAATATTGACATAGTAGTGTTCGTTATAGACTAGTCATGAGCTAGTGCAAAACCAATCCGACATGGGTACGAGATGGCAAAGCGTGGTTGTCTATTATGGTTTTCCTTGCAAGGTATAAGATTTGGATCCTACATCGAAAATATAGGACTTCAATATATGATTTATATAGACTCGGGGATATTTATAACAATGGTATTAGAGTAGGCATCACATCTTCGGTTGCAATTGAACAACGTGGATGGTGACACCAACATAACAATGTTCGTTATGACTAGTCATGGACTAGTGCAAAGTCAGTTTGATGTGGGTGCGAGATCACAAAGCGTGGTGGTGTGTTATGGCTCCCATTACAATCCCACAATGAAATTTTAAAGTATGACTCTCCCAAAATCTATAACACTGGACATCAACAATTTTTTTCGGCTGTTATCTTCAAATTCGTGATTTACAAATGCCCTCCAAAACTTTGTGGCATGCCAGTTTTCCAAACAAAATAATGTCCTACAGTTCTCTTCTTGACATGTAAACACCGTCATACCTCGACATGTCTCAAACAAGAATAGACAAATGCAGAATCATCACAAATCGTCGCACTTCAATTATATAACATTAAATAACCACCAGCTAGCTCCAATAACAAAATCAAGATACCACAAGGTCCACAACCTTGCAAAATGAAGACAGTACCCAATAATCTTCCAATGGAGACTAGGAAAGATAAAAATATAAACTTTGCTAATCACCAATAAACAACAATGCTCTCAGATATAATCAAAATATAAAGAACTTGTAAGATTTTTATCCATCACTTACGAAAATTCACTCAAGAATCAACACTCTATCGATCCAATCTATAGAAATGTGCAATTCGACATCAAGGATGTATCTACGCTGATTATGGCTCAATTTTATCTACGTCTAACATCTAAACACCCTTCAACACTCCTACTCAAATCCGAATCCAACACTAAAAGCAGTGCCTTTGGGACCACGAAGACAAAATAAAAAAAAAAAAAACTCATTCAACAAAAACAAGAAAGAATCTCCAAGATTCTTATCACAAAACCACAGTGCAATAAGCAAGAAGAAAATCTTGAGCAAAGAAGAAACCACGTAAGAGAGATTAAAGAGAGGTGGTGGTGTTTTTTTGAAGAGCGTGACAAATGAGAGAACAGTATGAAATTAGCGTTTCACACTTATATATATATATAAAATAAATTTCAACCATTCAATTTCATCATGATCCAAGGTACACGATCCTTTCAGTTAATCCAGTTTTCATAAGCCTCAAAAAAGACAATTTCTATTTTTCGGGCCGGGTCAATAGAAGTTTAGGTGAGTGATGTGCGGGTCTATTTTTTTCTTCAACTAATAAGCATTAGTCGATTTATCATCGTCCCAAGGTTGTTTAACTACACGTGCTGAACAAAACTCAGGTTAAATATCTAATGCACTGCAATTACCGACACAAATAAAATTGGCTTGTTGGTGTTGGGAAAAATTGATTTTATTAGTTTGTTTGACCAATTTTTAACTAATTATTTTATTGAGTCTCGTTAGTTGGATAAAAGATTTCTTTGGCCGAGTGTGTTCTATTCCATGAGTAGATTAATGTAATGTATTTATTTTCTTAAAACCAATTTAGAGTTAATGAGAAATTAAGGCCAAAAGATGACCACTTGGAGTTGAAATAAATTTGGATAAAATTGGTAGAAAATTGAAAAATGCCAATCCCACATAAGAAAACTAGAAGAATAGAAACCATTTTGTATTGTTCAAATTAGGGACTTGAGTTTGGGCCCCAAGGGGTACCAATAGTCTTTAAAGGGGAGAGAACCTACATGCTAATGGGCTTGGCTTGCATTTGGTCCAAGTTGATATATATTTTTTGGTAAAATAATAGTTGGATTATTTTATTTTTATTTATAAATAATACTATATTTATTTTTATTATTGATTTTTCTCAAATTTTCTGTGTGTGACACATGACTTCTTATAGAAGATGGCAATTGACTGTTAAACTGTCTGTCCAAATGGGTTGTGTTTGTTGAAAACACAACTTTTCGACTGTTGTGTTTTTTTGATATAACTTTTCAACTTCTATATATAGGTTCCCATATCCCGATTTTTATTCATTCCAAAATTAGAATTGATTTTATTCTTCTTCCAACTTTATTCCTTCATCCCTATATTATTCATATTTTGCAATCGAGTCTCGAAATTTATTTTCATGCATTTCAGTTCTCAAATTTTTAGAGAGATCATAACGTAAGTAGGTTTGCCGGGTCTTGTAATTTGGAGTGATACTATTACAAGTCGAGGTCGTTGTATCTTAAAAGGCAAGTGTCGGAATACTGTTAGTACCAGTGTGGAACATTATCGTTTTAAGGAGAAAGAGTCGGACTCTTGCCTCGACCATTAATATTTTATATCATTTATTTTTTGCAAGTCGTTATTATGTCCAAATTATTACACTGTAATATCATTATTTGCCAATAGTTGGGAATAAGATGAGCAATCTGACAATGGGCTGGAAGAAGGCTCGTGGGCAGAGAAGCAACACTTTGTTGGTATAGCCCGTATGGGTTTTCAAGAGAACTTTTTCGTTCTCAAACCCAACAAATTTGATTGGGTTTTCACATTTAGGATGTTATTAGGGGCATTTTCGTCTAGTTTTACACTTTTGGCCGTTGACCCCTAAAGCTATTAAAGTTGGCCATATTTCAAAATTGGAAGTTTAGGCTGGCTATTCCTTCCAATTTCCTACGAATTTTATATTTCTTAGGGTAAGCCAGAAGTTTGACAAAGCAAATTTATAAAACATAATACTATCTAGCACTACTGATACTACAATATCAATGCAGACAACACTATATGATAAGTTTAATGAAAGTTAGAATTAAGAGCTCGTTAGATATGACTTTTGAGAAGTCTAATTGAGCTTTCATATCCCAAAAGCTATTTTTAGACCCGTCTCACTAATTTTATAAAAGTGATTTCCTAATTAGAAATTTTTTTAGACAAAGTTAATCTAATGCGACTTTCTCTAAAAGTACTTTCAAAATAGAAAGGTCTTTCAAGAAATTAGTTTTGAAAAAAATGAAGGTAGTATTTTTTAGGAATCTCTTATACAAGAAGTAGAAATAAAAGCAAAAGTCACGTGAAATGAATTATGAATTAGTCATTTAACTGTACCTTTCATTTAATGATAAAATAATCCACTTAGTTGATATTTTAACTTAATGATGTTTCATTACTCATTTATAAATCAAGGAAGTTATTATATCCACCCCAATGTCGACCTTTTATCTCTAAATTTCAGTCTAAACCAAAACCTTCTTTCTACGCACAAGCAAGTCTTATTTTAAAGTAGCCTATTGGCTCCACAACAAGTTCACAACTAACCATTCAATTCAAACTTTTTAGCTTTTATAATTCTCGTAATCTCAGTGGAGGAAATGTGCGTTGCACGTTACTAGTGAAGGAAATGTGCGTTGCACGTTACTTGATTAGTGTTAAAAATAAGTGTTTTTAAATTTGGTTAATGTGATTTTTAAATGTATTGTGCACTTTTAAAATCTAGTACGACATGAACATCTATGTGTCATTTCGTAATGCAAACGAACAGTTGAGCTCACCAAGAAATTTTAAACGACAATTACCATGAAATTTCATAATATTAGGGCACTGATTTATAATTTAATAGATGACTGTATGAGTAATCAGCCACAAAAAAGGATTTGAATAGTTAGATATACATTGACACACAACTACCGTACAGAATAAGCTAGTCAGCGAAAAAAAAAAAAAAAAAATTCCACAAGAAAATGAGTAAATTGAAACAAGAAATTTAAAAAAAGAACATACATGTCCTCGGAATTATATTGCATCTCCGAATCAATAAAGCAATCGGCAAGCTATCCTTCAGATGACGGGTCCAAGCACTCATTACTGGAATCATACGTGCCTTCTATAGAAGTATGAAGAATTATTAGTTGAAATCCTCAACATAATAATAGATTAGTCCCTATCAATATCCGAAAAGAAAAATTTGCAAGAATAGACTTGTAAATCCGCCAACCCACTGTGACATTTCAGATGAAGCCACTTCAAGAGACTCTGGTGTTTCCTAATCATAGAAATAAAAACACGTCTAATTATTATCCGTGAACATTCAAGCCTAGTGCTGCTAAACAAACTCTTTTACTCTGGCAAATTCATAATGCTAGACCTGAAATTTCCAAAAGAAAAGAATACCAACCTTTGATCTTAAAAATGCCTCATCATTGTAAAGAGGTTCAGACTCGAACTGTAGCATTCGACGTCTTTTTACTTGTGAAGAAGGTTCCCCTCGTTTCTCCAACTCTTTGTCTGCAGTTCATGCAATGAAATGACAAGAAACTATGTATGAATTCCAAATTTCTCATCCCAGTATATTGGTAATACGTTAATGTTAACCTTTGGTGCATATGTGAAAATGTAGTCTTCCACAAAGTCATTTTCAAGATGAGCGCTTTTTGCAAAACGTATATTCTCATCGGCAAATAACCAAAATGGAAGTGAAAAACAGATAGAAATAACATATGTTCAAGCAGTAGCCTACCAAAGCTAGTTACTTGATACGCCAAATCTCCACAAGCCTTAACAAGGGTAGTTTCATTGTCAAACATGTAAGAGAGATCTTCGTTTTCGTTTAGTCCATCCATTAGGCATTCAGGTATATCTGCACAACATATAAAGAAAAATTTAAAATCAATAACCTCGATCGAACAAACAAATAACGAAGAGTAGGTTAAAAACCGCCATAAGACTCACCTAAGCTTGTTTTTTCTTCAAGAGAGTAAGCCTGACTTTGCCGGTCCAACATATGATTGTAACAATTTCACATGGAAAATTCGATACGTTAAGCTTAATGTGACTCAAGATTCCAAAGTGACAATATGTCGGTGTTAGAATGTATAATATAGATAATGTAGCTAGCTTATCTATTATGTATAAGACAAAAACATATCAGCTGGAGATGTAAATATACCATAAAAAAGAGACCCTATCAACCAGCTGCCAGCTCGTGTGATTGCACATGGTTGGGTGCACAATTATTCTTTCTGTTGTAGTTTGTTAGGACCATCTTTTACCCTTTTACCCCCTCTTTCCTTCTATATATTCACTCTTGTACTAATGATAAGATGTAAGATGAATTTACTGATTCAATTGTAATCAATCAGTTTCCATTATCATGTTCATCTGGCTGCATTATTTTCCTCTTTATAATTTCTATTCAGCTGCCAAATCTTACATGGTATCAGAGCCATGACCACCATTGCTGAAATGAATTCTGCAAGCAGTGAAAACACAACCACTGTCCGAACTCCTGACCTTTCCGACCATTACAAGTTGGAGAACTCAGATAATCCAGGAGCTACTCTAGTGACAGAGTTACTAACCACAGAAAACTATTCTACCTGGTCAAGGGCACTCCGACGAGCACTCTGAGCTAAAAACAAGTTAGGTTTCATCAATGGAACATTGCCTAAACCTGAAGCAAGCAGTGCCTCTTTACATCCATGGGAAAGATATAATGACATGGTAGTGTCATGGATCCAAAATGCTATATCTCCCTCTCTTAGATCCAGTGTTTCATTTATGGATGAGCAAAATGAGATATGGGCAGAGCTTAAGGATCGATTTACTCAACAAAATGGACCCAGGATATATGAATTAAAGAAGGCATTGGCTGATTTTGAGCAAGAAGGTGATTCTGTGAGCATTTACTATGGTAAGTTGAAGATCATTTGGGATGAATTGTCAGTTTATGATATCGTTCCTCAATGTAGCTATGGTCAATTGAAGGTGCAGGTGGATAGACACCAGCGTGATTGTGTAATTAAATTCCTAATGGGGCTAAATGAAATTTATGATAATATAAAAGCTCAAGTGATGATGCTTGATCCTCTTCCACCAGCTAATAAGGTGTTTTCCTACATACAGCAGCAGGAGAGACAGAAGCAGATCACCTCTATTGTTGTGAACAATGAAGCCATTGCAATGGCAACTAGGAGGTCCTATGGAGATAACAAAACTATCAGCTATGGAAACTCGAATTTCACTTTTAAAAACGATAGACTATATTACACATATTGTAAAATCTCAGGACACAATTTGGATTAGTGTTTTAAGGAAGGAAATACTGAGCCTCATGTCTGCACACACTGCAACATGATAGGACACACTATGGAGAAGTGTTTTAAGCTGCACGGTCACCCTCCAAATCATAAGTTATACAAAGGCCAGAGAAGAGATGAGAGTTTTACAAATCAATCAAGTGTGATTCAGGAAGAAAGTGAGAGGCCAGTTTCTCTAACTAAGGGAGAGTATCAAGAGTTCCTTGCCTTGCTTCAATCTAAGGATAACTCACAGATCAACCATTCTGTCGATCATGTGTAGACCATTGATCACTCAAAATCTAAACCTCAGTCTGATTTATCTGGTAAAGCCAATTGTTTATTTATTGCACCCACACCCTCTCAGAATTCTGCTGGTATTCCTTGGATTATTGATACTGGTGCAACATATCATATGATCCGTAACACCAGCTTTTTTGCCTCCATCAAAGCAAGAACCTCTCTCTCAGTAAAATTACCCACTGGGGAGGTGGTTCCAGCTACACATTCTGGTGAAGTACAAGTCACAGATTCTTTACTCCAAATTTTTTGGATATGTAATAAATGGAACTGTCGGGTTTAAATATAATTATGGAACCGTTCAGGTTCGGTTTCGTACCATAATTAAATTTTTTAACATTTATTACAACACTATATAAATATAACTAATAACATATTTATTCGTAACTATTACAAATTAACGTAGCCCAATTTAAAAATATATAAATAATAAGCTGTCCAATAAGATTAATTCAATATATACAAATACCAAAAAGTAGAAAATTATTTAAATTTGCTAATTTGTTTATAAAAAAATTAAATTATTTAATTAATTTAATATTAAAAATTATAAAAATTATTTAGATTCGGTTCTTCGGTTCTTGGTGTAGAACCGAGAACTGAACTAAACTCATCGGTTCTCAATTCAAATACCCGTTTGAGTATTTAATTTATAAAGAATCTCTCGATTCGGTTCGATCCGATTTGGGACTTTTGTCCAGCCCTAATGCAGGACCTTTTGTCTTGAAGGACGATTGGAAAGGGTGAAGTTTGGAATGGCCTATATCGACTCATGATACACAAGTTCTATCCACAACCTTAGTAACCATCCTATCAGCCCTTAACCTTAGACAACATTTTACTATAGCTTCTGTTATTAGTTCTCATGTTCAGCCACACTTATGACACTATTGATTAGGACACATTTGATTCCAGAATGAAACTCATTATTGATACTTCTGTTATTTCTCATTTCAAGAATGATAATAAAATTCCATGTTTTATCTGTCCATTGGCAAAGCAACACAAGAATCATTTTCCCATAAGTTCACATAAAACTAAACAAATCTTTGATATAACCCATTGTGACATCTGGGGTCCTTGCCCCACCACAGCCCATAATGGATCCAAATATTTTCTTTCAGTGGTGGATGAATTTTCACGAGCCACTTGGGTGTATTTGCTTAAAAAAAAAAATCTGATGTTGGTCATTCAATTAAGGTATTTGTCCAAATGATAGAAAACCAGTTCCAAGTTTTAGTTAAAATCTGGAGAAGTGACAATGGGCCTGAGTTTAAACTAATTGAATTTTACAACCTAAAGGGGATCATTCATTGAAGAAGTTGTGTTGAGACCCTCAACAAAACGGTATAGTTGAAAGAAAACATCAACATTTAATGACTGTTGCAAGAGCCTCGAAGTATCAATCAGGCTTACCTTTGTTTTACTAGAATGAATTCATTCTCACAGCAGCATACCTGATAAATAGAGTTCCCACACCATTGCTACAAAACAAGTCACCTTTTGAAGTGTTGTTCAAGTGTAAACCAATATATTCTCATCTTAAGATTTTTGGTTGCCTTTGCTTTGCTTCCACTTTAACACATGGGAGAAGAAAAATTGATCCTAGAGGGCACCAGTGTGTTTTCTTGGGTTACCCATTTGGAGTGAAATGATACAAAGTGATGGATTTACAGATAAAAATCATATTTATATCTAGGGATGTAGCATTTCATGAAACTCATTTTCCTTACAAACCATCTGAAAAATCATTGATAAGGCTGAATTTTTCTTTACCAAGCCATTCCCTGACATTGCTAATTTTATTCACGAATCAACATCAGATGAAACACCCGGTTTATCTAGTCCTCATATACCTAATCAGACCATTCCCAACAATCCTACACCGGATGGCAATCTTCAAACACCACCTACCACATCACCTATCATTAGAAAATCCACAACAGGCAAGAAAGCACCTTAGTACTTGCAAGATTTTCATGTCACCATGCTACATCAAATCAGCAATCCCAATCTTCCCTCAAGATAAGGTCTTCAGCCTCTGCAGGTAAGGCTTTTCCACACTCTTAACACTATTTCTTTTCAACCTCCATTTGCACTCATTTTGAACCTAACACTTATCATCAAGCTGTAAGTGATCCTAATTGGTGCAAGGTAATGAATTTAGAGATAAAAGCTCTTGAGTTGAATAGAACCTGGACTCTCACTGATCTTCCACCAGGAAAGACAGCAATTGGGTGCAAATGGGTGTACAAGCTGAAGTACAACTCAGATGGAAGCATTGAAAGGCTTGTAGCCAGGCTTGAGGCCAAATGATATAACCAAAGAGAAGGAATAGATTACAATGAAACGTTTTCACCTGTTGCAAAACTTGTAACAGTTTGATGTTTGTTGGCAGTAGCAGCAGTTCAAAATTGGCACTTGAAGCAATTTGATGTGAGCAATGCTTTCTTACATAAAGTTTTACATGAAGAAGTTTATATGCAGAAACCTCCAGGCTATACAAAAGGGACCCCCAACCAAGTTTGCAAGCTGTTGAAAAGCATTTATGACTTGAGGCAAGCTTCAAGACAGTGGTACTCTACATTTTCTTTAGCATATATACATTTTTCTGCAGTCTACAAGGTAATTAAGTATTTGAAGCTTGTACTAGGACAATGCATCCTATTTCTCTCTTCATCCTGATTGATTCTTCAAGCATTTTGTGACTCTGATTGGGCAGCCTGCCCTGATTCTCGAAGATCAGTAACTGGTTATTGCATTTTCCTTGAGGATTCTTTGATCTCATGGAAGTCCAAGAAACAAACTTTGGCGTCTCGTTCATCTGCTGAAGCGGAATACAGGTCAATGGCTAGCACTTGTTGTGAGATTACATGGTTAAAATATATTCTAAAGGATCTTTAAGTTCATCACTCCCAACCTGTCACCTTGCACTTTGACAACCAGGCTACATTGCATATTGCCTCCAACCGGGTATTTCATGAAAGGACTAAGCATATAGAATTAGACCGTCACTTAATCAAGATCAGATCGAGGCTAGACACATTTCTACATCCTATATTTACACTCAATCACAACTTGTGAATATGTTCACCAATGCATTTCCTTCTATTATTCTAAGATCTCATTTGTCTAAGATGAGAATAGAAAACATCTATTCTCCATCTTGAGGGGGGCTGTTAAAATGTATAATATAGATAATGTAGCTAGCTTATCTATTATGTATAAGGCAATAAACATATCAACTGGAGATGTAAATATTCCATAAGGAAGAGAACCTATCAGCCAGCTGCCAGCTCGTGTGATTGCACATGGTTAGGTGCACAATTATTCTTTCTGTTGTAGTTTGTTAGGATCATCTTTTACCTTTTTACCATCTCTTTCCTTCTATATATTCACTTTTGTA